AAAATTAATAATTAAATAATAATATTTAAAATATAAATTACACTTAAATAGTATATCAAATTTATGGACACTACAAAAAAAAAATCATACATGCACATGAATATCCACATTATAAATCATGCCTTGTTTGATTTTAATACTGTTAAAATCTTGACATTTTGTTTAATATTGTCAATTGTTTATTTATTTATTTATCTATTTTATTATCTGTATCGGAGATAAACCATTTAAGTAAGTAGCTTTTTAACTTACTATTTAAAATCTTTAAATAGACACTCTCAACTCTTATAGTTTGTAAATATTTAACTTGATTTTGCTTGTGGGGGGTTTGTGTCCTGCTTCATGGTCTCTCTCACAACCGAATTTTTATATAGTTTCAAATGATAATTTAGAATTAGTCCAAAATTTGAAGTTACGAACGAACCCTCCGATTCAAGATGAGTGGGTGCTTAGGATCTTTTACCATCTTAAAAGTGTCGATTGTAAAAAATTTAGATCATAAAACATTCATTAAATTACAAAATTATCTTAAAATCGATCCAAATTCATCTATTTATGACAAAATTATACGTAATTGGCTATCCACGCAGATTTATCCCCTCATTTCCAAGTAAGCGCCATTACACTAAGTAATTGGATGAAATTGACGAATGAAGACCAACTTGGACTTTTATTGGTCGATTTTTTTTTTTAATTTTCTTATCTTATTGTACCAAGAAAAAGTTAGGTGAAAATTTATTGAAGTTAAAGTACTGTGAATTAATTATTGACCTTTAAATACTCATGTATATTGATAGAGCGGAATTAAATTTGAGACTCCCTCTATATATTTAGAAAATTACCGTATCTACGAGAGATAATATTTGTGATAACAATGTGTATATTAAATCATAGGTAATAAAATATAATCCGCATGTGATTAATTAATTGGCTAACAAGGTTGTTAATTAATTAGGATTTGTTTTGATTGAGACTAGGTTAAATGCGTTATGACATGTATCTTCATATCTCCTTAATTATCTTATTCTTGCACTAATATGGTGTTGTCAGAAAACATGATTGAGATTGACTAGGATTCTAAACTCTACTGTTTTGGACTTGGGATTGGAGATCTTGTAAATGTGAAGCCTGTTCAATGTTATGACCTGGTTGTCACAACTTCTCTTGGCAAAATTTCCCTTTAGATTTAATTCATATCATATATATGCTCCTCACTTAAGCTTATAAAAAACAAAAAAAAATGCTCATCACTTAATCCTTCTATTTTTTTTACTTAATTGAATACCATGTACTAATTGTATATTGTACTTCTTATATTAAAGGGTCATATAGATGATGAACAATTCTCCACAAAAGATATTTTATTAGTTTCACGCGATTTCATTGTTTTTTTTTTATTTTTTGTAGATTTATGCCAATACAAAGTTGGAGATATTCTTATGGCAACTGGTTTCAACAATAGTGCAGCTCAATTCTAGTTTGTTGAGTTAAGTGACAAAATGTGATTCTAAGTATTGATGCAGAAAAAAGAAACGAAAAAGACATCTTTAAGGGCAGTGACAAGCAAAGGCTCTTCTGGATTCGCTTTGCTTTATCCTGATAGGATACATTAGCTATGCTGATACTTCATTAACACCAGGTCACCATGTATTACTTTGGGAACTTAAGATAATGGAAAGCAATGACATGAAAAAGCATGATCCCAAGATAATAGTAGAATGTTGCTCCAAAATGGAAGAGTTACTCAATTACACATATAAAATTTATAGGAAAGAAAATATGATTTCACTTTTGGAGCTTAGGGTGGTAAAATAAGGACCTTTTAATGCCCTTATGAATTAGTATGTATCACAAGGAGCTTCCATGAGCTGATACAAGGCACTTAGTCACATTAAATCTAAGCAAGCCATAAAGATTTTAGATTTCAAAGTAATAGGAAAGCTTTCCAATTAAGAAACTTGTTTTTGATTTGTCTAAAAAGGTAAATTATACAAAATAAAAATAATCACTAGAAAAGTTGTTCTTATATGTAGTTCTGTGAGTACTTAATTAAACATTTTAGTCAAAATATTGTTACTTGAATTCTCTCCTCCAATATGGCTGAATCCGAGGATGAATTGATTTAAGCGTTTGTGATTGTATTCAAAAGCTGAAATTAGAAAGATCAGAGTCCCTTTTCTCTATTTTAGCTTAGAACAAATAATTCTATATCCTCTCTTTTTTTTTCTTTCTTCTATACAATTTATTGCTATTTGAATAACAAAATAAAAATATATAATAATCAATTTTCATCCCATAAATTATAGTTTTTTTTCTTTAAATTAGAAGTTAAAAGTTTAAAACTAATAATTTTATTTCAGTGATTGAAATGTTTCTCGAAACAATGTCATTGCACACTTCACAAAATTAAAAAACACATGTAAGTCATTTATCCATCAAAAAGATCATTTATTGCACCCGATCCTGTGCAAGAAATCGAAATGAAAGCTGTACATGATGACTATTGAGATAAACATTAAAGCCGTGGGCCATTACTTCCGTCCGCCGGCAGCATTACTTTTATCAAGTTTTCAATTACTACTTTAGGAGATAAAATTCAGACGCTCCTATCTGCTGATTAGCGACTAAAAGTACACTGAAAAGAGCTAAGAGTAGTAAAGTTGAGTCTTTACCATTTCCTCCATTTCTGGTCTCTAGATGGCAGCAGAGAGGCACCAAGCTGGCTTAAAGATTTTGGAGAAGCTGACCACCGATGCTTACCAAATACAAGAACAGGTACTGGAGGAGATACTTAATCGAAACGCAGGAACAGAATACCTAAGGGGCTTCCTCAATGGCCAATGTGACAAGCAACTCTTCAAAAAGAATGTTCCCATTGTTACTTATGATGATATTGAGCCTTACATCCATCGGATCGCCAATGGGGAGTCATCAGATATCCTTTTAGCTGAACCTGTCACTGGGTTCTATCGAAGGTAAATTTGTTGCTTCTACCCTATGCTTTCTAGTCTCTCCTTTCCTTTTTCTTATTTTAGATATGGGGATTCGAAGCTGCTCTTTGATCGGAACACATACACTGATTATTATTAAATATTCAGATATTCTTCTGTTTTTCTTGCTTCCCCCTTAATAGTTAGTCTATCATCTTTGATGCAGCACTGGAACTTCAGGAGGACAACCAAAGCTGATACCTTCAACTGCTGAAAAGGATAAAGGGGCATTATTTCAGACCCTAAAGGAATCTGTGATGAACAAGTAAGAAACTAATTAGCCCCATTCTTTTATAGCTTATAGTATTTGATATATGCTCTTAGTGTATAATTTTAGGCTTTCTCATTTGTCAATAAATTATATCTCCACTAACACATAATCAAGTTCTATCAACTTCCTGCAAAAACTCATGAATCATTAAGTTTCCACTCTGTTTTAGGGGCGCTTTGGTGCTGTGCTGAAAAGATATTCAATTCTGTACCATCAATGTCATTTGATTGTCAAATATGACCACTAAGCACACAATTAAGTAACAATGTCAATAATTTTCTTTAATTGTACTTACAAAACAGTATAACACAGATAGAAGTTCAAGAATGGAAGCTAGATTACACTTTTTCTTAAAATAGAAAGATTGCCTAAAGAAAATTCATGGATACCTATTATAGTTTTATTGTGCATCAGATCAACTTTCAAGATCTTTACATGAGTAAATCTAACAATAGTGGTTGAGTTTATCCATTTACAGGCACTTTGGCGACTTAGATAAAGCTGGAAAAAGTATGCAACTTTTGTTTACCAAACAGGAGATTGAAACTCCATCTGGCCTACCGGCAACACCTGCTACAACAAGCATATTCAAGGACAGTGGCTTTAGAAACATTGTTGCCAGGCTTTACACAAGCCCAATTGAGACAATCCTTTGTTCAGATAACAACCAGAGCATGTATTGCCAATTACTTGTCGGTTTAATACAGCGGGACGAGGTTGGATCGGTTGGCTCAAGCTTTGCTTCTACAATGTTAAGAGCTATCAAGTTTATAGAAGATCACTGGAAAGAGCTATGCTATAACATAAAAACAGGTCACTTAAGCAATAGGATCAATGACTCAGGATGCAAAAATGCTCTGTCATTGTTCATGAAGCCTAATCCAGATTTGGCTGATTCAATAGAAAATATATGTGGCTGTAAATCATGGGAAGGAATAATCAGAAAGCTTTGGCCTAAAGCAAAGTATATTGGTACCATTACTACAGGCATTATGAGTCAATATACTGCAGCACTCGATTTCTACAGTGGAGGGCTCCCTTTAGTGTCCAGTGCTTATGTTTGTTCTGAAGCTATGTGTGGGATCAATTTAGAACCTCTAAGCAAGCCTGCTGATGTCTCCTACACCTTCCTCCCCAATATGGCATACTTTGAATTCCTTCCTGTGAAGAAAGATTGTCTAACAAAGTTTCTGGATCAGGTTCAGTTTAATGGTGTTGCACACCAAGAATCCAAGGAAATGATGAGCAGCATTGAAGCTATTGAACCTGTTGATCTTGTAAATGTGGAGCCTGGCCAATGTTATGAGCTGGTTGTCACAACTTTTGCAGGCAAAATTCGTCTTCAGATTTAAATCATATATATTCATTCTCGTCACTTAACCTTCTTTTTTTTTATTTAATTGAATGCCATTTACTAATTGTGTATTATACTTCTTATATAAAAGGGTCATATAGGTTATGAACAATTCTCTACAAAACATATTTTATTAGTTTCGTGCGATCTCATTGTATTCTTTGTTTTTTGCAGGCTTATACCGTTACAAAGTTGGAGATATTCTTATGGCAACGGGTTTCTACAATAATGCACCTCAATTCCAGTTTGTTGAGCGACAAAATGTAATTCTAAGTATTGATGCTGAAAAAACAAGCGAAGTAGACCTTTTAAGGGCAGTGACAAAAGCAAAGGCTCTTCTTGATCCGCTGGGCTTTCTCTTGACAGGGTACACTAGCTATGCTGATACTTTATCAACACCAGGTCACTACATATTATTTTGGGAACTTAAGACGAAGGAAAGCAATGACATGAAAGAGCCTGATCCCAAGATAATGGTAGAATGTTGCTCCAGCGTGGAAGAGTCACTCAATTACACCTATAGAATGTATAGGAAGGAAACTATAATTGCACCTTTGGAGCTTAGGGTGGTAAAACAGGGAACTTTTGATGCCCTAATGGATTACTATGTATCACAAGGAGCTTCTATGAACCAATACAAGGGACCTAGTTGCATCAAATCTAAGGAAGCCATAAAGATTTTAGATTCCAGAGTGATGGGAAAGTTTTTCAGCGCTGAAACTCAGTTTTGATTTGTATTTATTCCTATGTTTGTTTGGTGTGAAGGATCAATTGTCTAGGAAGGTAATTCGACAAGGTTAAAACTGTTACTGGAGAACTTGTTTCTATATGTAGTTCAACGAGTACTTAATTAGCCACTCTGCTAATTGGGTTGATATGCATAGATGTATCTATCGAGGAAGCAAATACCTGCGTTGTCTTTGGTTTGATGTCCCTTATTAATATGTTCGGGTATGGCTCAATCAAGGCTAGGCCTAAAGACTAAATTCCCCTGTACAAAGCTCAAGTTTTGGACTTGGGTCCATCAACCTAAGTAACTAACCCATAATTGCTGCTAGTCTGCACTTTGCACTCCACCTATTAGACAAAGATATGCTGTTTTGCTCTTTTATGAATCCTACCAAAGAAATTTGACAAGCTTTTTAGCAAGACTCCAGGATTCATCTGTAAAACCTCAATGACTGCTAAGTGTTACCTTCTTCTTTCGTATTTCTTTTGATCAAGAATACTTTTACCCTTCATAGTCAAGCTAAACCTGCGACTCAACATGAGCTGTTTACTAGTAAGACTAATAAATTGAGGTTAAATTAAAACCCAACACCTTGATTGCGTTAAATTCCAAAATTCCAGTGGAATTCCTATTAATTTGCCACGTATTTGGACAAAATTTTAGGCAGAAGATTTGAACAGAGTTCATAATAACAAGTACCTTATATTGGTTTGACAGCACTTTTATTTCTTCTTTTTTATTTTCCTTCCTAAATTACTTTCTTTCTTCAATTGATAAGTAACAATTTAGCTTCAGTTTCCACTCTCTTTTTTCTCCCCAGTCATATTCACAAGAATCTTTAACTTCCAAAACGAGAAATTTGGGTTTTGGGACGTTTCTTTGAAGCTTCTTTGCATATTCTTCCTTTGCCTCTATTTATATATGAGCACATACATAACACAAAATCATATTTGTCTTTGCCTTTCTTCTGAGCTTCTTAATATATATAATCTCTGAGCATGATGTCTCAGAAATCTCTCTTCCTTTTCTTGGTTTTCTTTGCTTGTCTTCTCTCTTTATCTCAAGCCTACAGGAACTTCTATGTTGGTGGCAAAGATGGCTGGGTTTTGCAGCCTAAAGAGAAGTATAATGACTGGGCTGGTAGACAAAGGTTCCTAGTCAATGACACTCTGAGTAAGTTTTTAACTTCGCCGAATGTTTTGATTCATTTTGGCCTGCTGGTTCTTCATAATCATTTTTATGTTCAATTGTTACTTGATTTGGTTTTGGTATGTGGATTATGTTTTGGTTTGGTCAGCTTTCAAATATGAGAAAGGATCAGACTCAGTTTTGCTGGTACGCAAAGATGATTACTACAAGTGCGACAGAACGAACCCTGTAAAGAAAATGGACAGTGGAAATTCTGAGTTTCAATTTCCTCACTCCGGTCCCTTCTTTTTCATCAGTGGGAAAGAGGGTCACTGCCAAAAGGGGCAGAAACTGATCACTGTTGTTATGGCTGAGAGAAAGAAAAACTCACCAACTCATCCCCCCAAAACAGCTCCTCCTATATCCCCTGTTCCGATAATCAAGCCTCCAGCATCATCCCCATATTCATCACCAGGGCCAGCATACTCTCCCAAGCATCATGGCCCTGTTGCAAAACCTCCTAAAGCATCATCTCCAGGTCCAGCTTTGGCTCCTACTTCTCCATTCCCTGTTGCTGGACCTCCCCAAGAATCATCTCCAACACCAGCACCATCTTCCCATATTTATCCAGGGCCAGCAAACTCTCCCAAGCATCATGGCCCTGTTGCAAAACCCCCCAAAGCATCATCTCCAGGGCCAGCTTTGGCTCCCACATCCCCTTCCCCTGTTGCTGAATCTCCCAGTGAATCATCCCCAACGCCAGCACCATCTTCCCATATTTCTCCATCTCTAGGACCAGCACTGTCACCAATGGCTCATGGTCCTATTGCACATCCTCCTAAAGCAACATCTCCATCGCCAGCTTTGTCTCCCAATTCACCTACACCATCCTCATTTCCTCCATCTCCACAGTCAGCAGCACCCCAAGCTTTGACTCCATCTCCTTCCAATGCCCCTGTTGAGGCACCAACGGTCATAAGCCCACCAGCTCCACCAACAGCTCCTTCTACTTCTCCAACCGGATCACCATCACCAACAGGTTCTCAGGCACCATCTGGAAGACAAACAGGCACTCCGGCCAACGAGCCGTCGCCATCTCCGGCTGCTTCCAAGTCATTTGCCACTGCAACTTATTCAAGTGCAACGGTCTTAGCAGGCAGTGTCTTGTTGAGTATGCTATTTGGTAGCTTTGTGGGTGCCATTTAGGAATATGAAATAATTTAACAGAGGTTTAAAAAGTAATGTTTTTTATATGGGAATTTTTATAGTTGATTTTTTTTTTTAATCTTAGCTATTATCATATGTTTTTAATTAATTTTATGATGTTAAATGAACATATTTAGAGATTGAACCCTAAATTTTCCTTGTATCATGTTCTAATTTTGCTTCTCCTTTATATTATTTGCCTTCTATTATATGTTCTAAGAACCATTTAATCTTTTTGTAACATTTTCATAATTTGTGGCTATTAAAAATAATCGTACGGTTGAGATAAGGAAGTTGCGATTGAGAAATGGGAATGCAATTTAATTATGCCATACTCATCATTCATTTCTCTGTTGAGAAAATGAAAAGCATCAAAGCACTTTTTTCCTTTCTTCTTTTTTGCTTTTTTGGTAGATACTTATTTGGGGTTGCAAATGATTCTCTCATTAATGGATAGTTTTTCCTAGAAATAAAAGATTTTACCATGTAAATTATTGGACACCCCTTAGGGGCATTTAATATGACATTATTGTTAATTATTTATATTTTTTATGGTATGTTAGAATCTAACCCTATGGTTGTTAATAGGTACCTTGTAATCATGTATCTTGCATTTTTGACCCGATTAAGTAAGATTAAGGTACATTATAAATTCAAGTAGTAAAATTACTATTCGTCATAGGTTCGAGTGTGGTTCAATTAATAGTAAAATTTTAGTTTTATATGTAAGTTAATATATTAAAATTCATTAATTGTTTTAATTATGATTTTAAATTTTAATTTATTTTTGATGAAGTAATTTTTAATTTATTAATTTAATTTTTATTAACAATATACATATAAAATTGATTTTAAGTTTATTTTAATAAAATGTTTAACAAGCAGTGTTTAGAATATTTCAATACTAATTCATATTATAGTTAAAAAATTTAATCTAGTATTTATAGAGTTCGGATACCCTATTAAATAATAGGATTAGAGTACCCTATCAAATAATAAAATTCGAGTTCAAGTATCTAAAAAATAAATTTTAATCAATGACTTAACTATTAGCTAATAAATGTTTCATATAAGTATGGTTTCTACATCTTTCAATCAACCATTCCTTTTAAAGAAAATAATTTATTAACATTCCTAATAATAAAGAGTCAGCTTTTGCCTTCCAAAATATAAAAGATTCATTTATTTTCTTTACATATTCACTTATGTACCATAACAAAACTGTGAATTAAGGGTTTTACTATTTATTAAAAGTGTATCACCAATCTGATTTTTCCCTCTATTTATGCACTCAGTTAAATATTATTTAAAGCCGACAGGCCTTGATTATGCCAATTGATTGTGTCATCTACCTGTAGTTCATGATTTCATGCATAAAATCAGAGATTCAATGCCAAATGAAAATTATTATTACTTTAATTCTATTAAATGCCATTAAATTGACATAATTACAAATCTTTTTTTACCCCATTTTGGTTTGATTTAACCATCAATTTTTACATTTATTTCTTCTTGATTAATGACCTAAACAATCAAAACCTTCCCTTTCAGGCTGATGGACTAATCATAATTGTAGTTATACCTAAACTTTTCTTACCAAAAAACCATGCTTGAATTCTTCAATTTGTTGGGGTCAATGGAGGAGGGAAAAAAGCCCATACAACACTTCCTGCAAATTTCCAGCATTGACTGACTTAAGGATCGAGTGTGGGGAATGTTCAAGAAGTGAAATGGGCGTCTGGGTAACTTCTCCTGTGGGAGGGGGTTTGTCTTTTCAAGTCTTCTGGGGTTTAGAAACCACAAACTTTGTTGACTTGGCATGCTAAAAGAGTTATGAGCCATGAACACAGTCGGTTGGCAATTAAAAGCCGTACGAAAGATATAAGAAAATGAAAATAAATAAGCTGTCGGCAGTCAAATGCATTACAGAGCCAGAATAAATCTTTAAATATATAAATAAGAAACATTTCTTCACTTAATAAATATATTTTTTAAATTAAAAATATAAATTTAAAACAAAAATATCAAAATTGAAAAAGACCTGAATTAATGTAAAAGTCTCTCTCGTATTTGAGTAAACATTTGAACTTAGATCTTAATCTATTTTATGCCCCATCAACAGCATGATTGATCCAAATTAAGTCATCTTTTCCGAACATGAACTCTTGTTCAATCTCCTCATAAGAATTAAACTTTTCAGTAGATTTTTCCATTCCTCCATCAAAGAGACAGAGACTAAGGATTTGTTCTTCATCTTCTTTATACCTGGAAAGCAACCATCAGATGATAGCTGGAGGTCCATGACCAAAAGCCAAAAAATTTGGAAAACCACATTTTAAAGAAATTATCGCCCGTTCAAACCCCATAAGACCAACAAATTCTTGGCTTGAGCACCTGTCGAAGTTCCATGATGATGGTTAAAACAACAGGACTTTGTCTACCAAACGAGTAAAAGCAAGAGAACCCACACTTGAATTTATGTTTTACATCTCCATCTAAAGCAACATTCTCCTTTCTTTTTCTTTGTTTTTTGTTTTTAAAATTTGTTGTTGCTGTGGTGTTATTGTTATTAGAAGATAATCAAAGTCCTTTTCATTGTAAAGTATCATTGCCTTCAAATGGAATTGCATTCGATCGAGCACCAATCCATGACAAATTTTCTTGTGCTCCCTTTAACCTTTTTCCACTCACATGCCCTTCACTTAATGCTCATCAATATTTTATTTATAATAAAATATAATATTTTAAAATATATAAAAATGAAAACATTCTTCCACTCATAAAGATCTCTTTTGGAATGGAAACATTATTATGTTGAAAATTCTATGCCTAACTTGTTCAAAGGAATTAAACTTTCTCAAAGTAATTT